CATACACACACACACACACGCACACACACACACACACACACACGCACGCACACACACACACACATACACTCAGACACACACACACACACACACACACACGTGCACGCACACGTGTATGCAACCCCTTATCGTGAGCAGGCAGGACGGCAACTTCAGCGAGGAGTCCTTCCGCGAGACAGTCAATGCTGAGCTGGCAAACACTGTGGGCAACATGCTCAACAGGTGGGTCCTGGAGGCAAGGGATCGTGCTTTATCACGCCCGCACGTCGGGTCGGGGACGGTGGAGAGGCAGCTTGCTTGGTGGGTGCGTAGCCGTGCCGAGTGGTGAAAGGTGCACAAGGCGGGGGGAACAGCAGGCCGCGGGCTGTGCAAAGCAGCACCATGTCAACTGCTATCGACAGTCGTCGTTGCTGCTAGCCCGGTCGAGCAGGGCGGGCGTTCACCAGTGTGATATCACTCAACACGCGCCAGCCCCACCCACCGCCTTGCAGCTGCGTGAACTGATGAACCACGATCTGCGCAGCCCAAATTTGTACTTCAACTTGAGTCACCTCACCCCGCCCCATACACACCTCGAATCCCAACCTTCCCCTCGCGCCCCCAGGACCTTGGGTCTCCTCCACAAGTACTGCGCCGGCACCCTCCCCGCCTCCGCCTCCGACGTCGCCCCCTCCGCCGCCGGGCACCCCCTCCGCGCCGCGGCCGAGGAGGGCGCCGCGCGCGCGGCCGAGGCGTACGCGGCCATGGCGCCGCACCTGGCGCTGGAGGCGGTGGTGGGGGTGGCGACGCGGGGAAACCTGTTTATGGAGGAGGTCGCCCCCTGGACGGCCCTCAAGAAGGTGCGGGCGCACGCGCACACACTCACACACTCACGCACACACGCGCGCGCGCGTGCGCAGACGCGCGCCAGTGTCGCGGCTGTTCATATTACTGCACTGTTATGACTCCCACCAACTGCCGGTGGTTGGGGAGGGACGGGGTCGCGCGCCGTGCGCGGCGCGCCGCTCGGCGCAGCCGCGCGGATCTGCGTGGTCCTGGGGCGTTTGGCGGTCCCTTTGAGGGCGTGCGCGGCGGCCCGCGAGCGCCGGCATGTTGGCAGAGCGTGGCGGTATCAGCCGGTCTGCCAGGGTCACCGTGGTGCCGGGCCCCCTTACTTGAAGCTATGCATGCGCGCACGTATGGCCAGGCCCCCACCCCGACTGCATGTCGCTGGGTTCTTTATTGACACGACTGAAGAAGGAAAACTCAATCCTCCAAACGACAACCATGTCAGGGCACCGAGGAGGAGCAGGCGGCCGCGGCGCGCGCCCTGGTGGCGGTGCTGGAGGCGTCGCGCATCGTGGCGCTGCTGCTCGCGCCCGTCGTGCCGCGCGTCGCCGCGCGCATGCTCACGCAGCTCGGCCTCGGCGGCAGCGGCGGCGGCGGCGACGGCGCGGACCCGCTGGCGGTGCTGGCGGGCGCGTCGTGGGCGGGGACGGCGTGGGGCGGGTTGCCAGCCGGGCACGTGACACCAGCGCCGGTGCCGGTTTTTGCGCGGCTGGATGACTCGGTGCCTTATGTCACGCAGCCGGCGCCGGGCGGCGCGGCGGCGGGTGGTGGCGGGGGCAAGGGCGGCGGCGGCCAGGGGAAGCAGAAGCAGCAGCAGAAGCAGCCGAAGCAGCCGAAGCAGCCGAGGCAGCCAAGGCAGCAGAAGGAGCAAGTTGAGGAGAAGGAGCAAGTGGAGGCTTGACCACATTTTTACGGCCCGCGGCACCAGACACAAATGCTTGTAACCAGCCACTCCTCAGATACTGTGCTTGCTGGGCAGACGACATTAGCGGATGGTGATGTTGTATGGTGGGATATTTAGGAGTCACATCTGCATGCGGCCAGCCGGGCCCGGTCAACCGCCCGCTGCTGTGGCGGTCATCAGGGGTTGAGCTGCGGCCGCGTCATGGTGATGTCACGCTGACGTCACCGCAACAAGGCAGACCAGCAAAAGCCACACATGAGCAAAAGAGTTGGCGCTGTCTTTGACAATGCAGGCAACACACTCCGCAGAGGGTGCCACTGCTGCACTGTGCAGTGCTTTGGGGTGACTGTAGTAGTATAAGCTGTGAGGGGGGCAAGCACAAGGGCTCTCTGCAACTGTAGCGGTCACCAGCACATCATCGCACTCCATGGCACTAGCAACCACCGCTGCCGGATTCGCTTAGTGCCCAGTGGGCGCCTGAGCTGCAATTTGCCGCCCCACTGGCGTCGCCCCCATGCAGCTAGGCCCCTGAACTTCGACAACCAAACCCCTCGTGGCCGCCGTTCGTTAGGCGGGGGGGGGGGCTCTGCTCCGGCTTCCAGCTTGCAAGGCGGCGGCTGCCACGTCAATGCGCCGACACACCGTGAAGGGATGGCGCCAGCGCGTCAACTCTCTGTCTGGAGGCACCGCTGTTGCTGCCTGAGCCTGCTGGGTGTGAGGATGGGGCAAGCTACCCGAGTCGGCACTGGCAGCTGTTTCACGACGCCGGCGCGCTCGCTGCTGACATGGCGGTGTTGTAAGGAACAGTTGTGTTGTGGCCACGTGGGAAGTGAGCTGCTGTGCTGCCCGGATGTGGGGGTTGTGACAGCTTACGCCCATGGTGCCCACTGCAGCCTCTGCACAACAGGAGGTTCGCATCCATCAAGGGCGCCACACACGCCCACGCTTAATTCTGGACATCGGCAATTCATCAGCCCTGCCATGGAAAGCGATGCTCAAGCTTGCCCTGCCCTCTCCCCTCCCCACACCCGAGCTCGCACCAGTCCTTCAAAGCCGCACAGATGGCTCTGCGCAGCGGCGCCACCCCTCCTGCACCGCCGGCCTGCAGCCAGGCTTGAAGGTGCTCACACAGCAGGACACACCTTTCATAACACGCTGACACCTCACGTTTCGGGCATTCAGTGAGCATGATCGGCCGTGCACCAAGGAGACAGGATTTATCTTGGTGGACATCGGTATTGACCCGCAGCCGTTGTGGGCCCCAACCCTGGTGATTGCGCGCCCGGCTTGCCAGCTGCGCCCCTTGCGATTTGTTGGCCTTTGCGCGGTGGGGTCGGTGTGCAAAGGGGTAGAGAGGCGCAAGCCCCGGACTGCCAGCAAACCAGCATGCCAAGAGATTACCTCTGCGTTGCAAGGGTTACCAATACTTGGTGATCGGGTGACACCGCATCCTCGCGTCGATGACTCGCATCGATGAGGCAGTTGCCATAACGGCTCAGAGCAAACCGCGTGTGTCCAGCCAGACAGTCCCACCACCCCTCCCACCACCGACGCCCGCCAAGGAATGTGCAGGGTGCGCGCGCACCCCCCGCAGGGGCGAGGGGCACCGGGCGCTGATGAAACGCGGCAAAGCACATGAGCTGGGGCCCAGCAGGGCGCGTGGCAGCGCCAGGCGTGCTCGACGCAGCCACGCCTTGCTCATTGGAATACCAGGAAGGGCAAAAGCAGAGGCCTTGGGATGCGAAGACATCGCTGCATGGTTAAGAAGAGATGAGAATGACCGTCCCCCAAAGAATTTAGGGCCCACACAGCCGCGCAGCCCCTACCCGTTGGCGCG